CCGCGCGCCCTCCTCCTCCTCCTCCTCGCCGCAGGTCTGGGGTGGGAAGTGGGAATTTAGGAGTGGGTGGTCTTTAAGATTCCTCATGGGCAGAGCCTGAAAGCTGAACTAAAATATAAAAATGATCTGCTTTGAGCGGGGTTTAGCAAGCTCATTGGTTAACACATCAGTCAACCCTCAGCCTATGCTCTGGCCTCCCTGCTGCTGTAGTAGAAAATGGCCGACCCAGATGACCCTGTCCCCCATTACCCCCAAGCCTCCACGCTCCTCTCCTGCCAGCTCGGCCACAGTTAAGGAAAGGTCAAGAGCTAAGGGCTGTAGGAGCAGGAAGGACATCGCCTGGCTGCTGGGAACTAAGGCGGCAGGTATCTTGACAAGAAAGCCAGCAGGGAAGCAGAACCCTCCGCCACTGGTGTGTGGATGCAAAGCAAAAGTCCCTTAGCCCACTCCTCGAGACATGCTTTCATTCCATAGCTGGGTAAACTGAGGCCCTGGAGTGTTACTCCTCTGCCATTCTCTCTCTCTTTGTTTCTTGACAACCCGGTGTCTCACTGGACCAGAGCTAATGTCCTAGGTAGTACAGGGCAAAGCTGGGTTTCTAGGCTGCTTTGCCTAGAAACTCCCAGATCTGTGGTTTACGTCCGTCTCACCCTGGGTAGCCTGGGGCATCCTTTCCAAACCAGAGCATCTTTTCCCTCTGGGTGGAGTCCCCCGCCTTGCATCTTGGCCATCAATCACTCAGGCTCTGTGTCTGACTCAGGGCTCACACACACACACACACACACACACACACACACACACACACACACATACACACTCGTCTTCAGCCCCTCCACCCACGGACCACACAGCCTCCCGGACCCCAGGTCAGCCCTCAAATTCACCATCTCTCATTCACGGGCTGTGGGGGCTCCGTCACAGCCTCCTGGAAACCTTCAGTGTATGGGAGGCAGAATGGGGAGGCAATAGAGGATTTCTAGGAGGAAAAGACAGGGAGGACCTTTCATCAGGCCAAGCCCTTCATTTCACTGGTGAAAAAAATTTGAGACCCAGGAATATAAAGTACCTTTCTTAAGGTCACCCAATAGGCAGAAGTGAGTGGCATGTTTTGGGGCCAGTAATACCCTCCCTCTGCACTTATGCCCCCTGGTCTCCACATCGGGGGCACATGGAGCTCCTTGTGCTAAACTTGCACACACACACACACACACACACACACACACACACACACATACACACACACACACACACACACACATGCATCTTTCTCTAGGCAGCCACAGCCATCTTCACCTCACCTGCCCCCACAGTTCCTGATGCCGCCCAGACCCATCTCAAATGCCACTTCCTTCAAGCAAACCCTCTCCAAACACCTCCCCTTTGCACTGCCCTTCATGTTGCCCAGGCTGGGTTAGAAACCTTGTCTCAAAAAAAAAAAAAAAAAAAAAAAGAAAGGAAGAAAAGAAAAAAGAAAAAAAATTACCCTTAAATTACCCTTGTGTACCTCCTCCTTCGGGAAGGCGGAGCTCAGATCTCCAAGAGCAGCCTGGTCCATGCCCGGCCTGTCTCAGATGTTTAGCAGGTATTTCTGGAAAGGATTATCATGGTGTGTATACTGTCATTATGAATGGCCAGAACTGAGTCAGCCACCATGCTCAGCAGGCTGCTCTGACTCCTGCGTCTGCATATCACAGCAAGCCAAACACTGGCCCCATTTCACAGGCAGGAGAACCGGGGCTCCAAGTAAATCAGCAGCTGGCCCCTTGTGTCTGGAAGGACCCAGAGCTAGAGCTCAGAGACTTCTGTGTACCTGGGAGCCAGCTGAGGAGCACATGGGGGTCACTCTTCCAGCCTAAATGACCCTGTGTCCCAGGGTCCCAGGATGAGTCCCCTCCAGGCCCCTGCCTCATCCAGAGGCTGCCCTGCTGGTTTGCTACCCGAGCATGGCCAGGTGACAAGCGTTCTCTGCTGGCCGCCTGCCACAGGGACACAGAGTACCTGCACACACAATCTCTCTTTGTCCCCTGCTGGAGACTGCAGAGAGGACAGGCCAAGGGCAAGGTGCTAAGGTGGCAGCAGTCTGCCTTGCCTGGGTGTCCTGCTCCCTTTCGATTGGGGCTTCCTGCTGGCACCTTACCCTGAGCTTGCAGGCTGGACAGGGGAGCATGGAAGGGAGACTCAGAGCTTTGTGAGGAAACGCGGGACAACCGTGGGGTTCTCCTTGCTCATGAAACCTGGGTTCCCTACAGCTAGTCTTCAGAAGAATTTGAGGGGTTTCGCTCCCAAGTGTCCCTTAAGCAAGACTCATTGAAGCCAGGTGTGGTGGCAATACCTTTGATGCCAGCATTTCAGAGGCAGAGGCAGAGGCAGGTGGATCTCTGTGAGTTGAAGGACAGCCTGATCTACAGAGTGAGTTCTGGGCCAGCCAGTGACACAGTGAGACCCTATCTCAAAAAAAAAAAAAAAAAAAAAAAAAAAGACTCATTGAGAATTGGGAGTTGGCTTGCTGGAATCCCAGCATTCAGGAGGCTGGGGCAGAGGGATTGCTGTGAGTTTCAGATGTGTATCTAGAAGCCAGCTGAAGACCTCATCAGAGCCAGGATTGTATAGTGAGACTCCACCTCAAAAACAAATGAGATGCCAGGTGGTGGTGGTGGTGGTGGCGGCGGCGGCACACGCCTGTAATCCCAGCACTCGGGAGGCAGAGGCAGGTGGATCTCTGTGAGAAACCCTGTCTCAAAAAACCAAAACCAAACAAACAAAAAACAAATGAGACAAAAGGATGCATTGGAAAGCAATGGCTCCTTTTCTTCCCATGAGCCAAGTCCTTGACCCAGATGCTGGGGCTACCAAATGTATCATCTCTGCTACCACTCTTGCTCCCTCCTGAGAAGGGGACAGGGGCTCACCCCATGCACCAGACTGTCACTGACATCAGCTTGCTTGATTCTCGGGAGGATTTGAGCATTTCTCCCCATTTCATAGATGAAGACACCGTGGCTCAGAGGAGACCACGCAGGTGCCCCCAGTGTGAGCCAGCTGGCATTTGAACTCTGGTTCTGGTTGCTGCAAAACCTCTTCCCTTGGGATCCCCCTCTCCACCCGCTACAGTCCATGTCACTCCAGGGAAGCCCACAGCCCAACAGCCTGTTGTCCTCAACTGCCTGGCACTGGGGTGTCCCCAGAGTGTGGAGAACACACCGGCCACCGGCCAGCCGGGTACATGGCAAGAGGCACCCAGCTGTGGCTCCCTCCTGATCTGTCACTGGGGACAGCACAGCCACCTGAAACCACCTGTTTAGTGTTCCTGTCCTTGTTGGTTCTGAGCCAGGATCTCACAGAACCTAGGCTGGCCTTGAACTCTATGTCGCTGAGGCTGGCCTCAGACTCCTAATCATCCTTTCTCCACCTCCCAGGTACCACCATCACGGACATTCACCATCACCTCTTGGAGTCATTGGTTTGATTTGGGGTTTCCCCTCCATTCCTGGGGATTCTGATGAGAATTAGCCACTGATCAGATGGCAGGATTGTGCGTAGCTCTGCAGGGCAGGCGGACGATAAGAGCTTGCTTCTGGCCTGTGGTCTGGGTGGGGATGGTTGGGGAGCGGGGGAGGGCTGGTGATGAAGAAATGACGCAGAAACCCACAGGAAGCTTCATCAGAGAGCCACGGAAGTAACACAATGAGAAGAGAAAAGCTTCTCGATTTTGGCTGGGCAAAGGCAACAGTGTAATTACCATCATTTATAAAAACTGCTTCAAGTTACCATCTAATTCCCACAAAGCACAGCCGTGAGTATCTCATTAGCTATGTGTCGGATGAACTCTGTTAGATGGTTTACACGATGCTCATTCCTCCTTGTCTGTGGTTTCTAGAGCATAGCTGTCTGTTGACAACTTTTCTGCAATTAGAAAGCATATTTCCAGGCAAGTGTTTTAGTGAAAAATCAGTTAACTTGGGATTGGCCCGGTTGCAGGGAAGACTCCCTGGCTTCCAGGTAGCTCACAGCTTTGGATACGCAAAGCGTGGAAGATGGATCTGGTGTCAATCTCAAAACAAACAAAAACAAACAAAACACTTGGGACTTTTGTATTACCTGAGTGTCTATGTACATCTGTATTATTTTAGTGACATGTGGGTGCACAAATACACACCATGTCTGCTGGTGAGGGGTACCTGTTGTGTTTTTTTTTTTGTTTTTGTTTGTTTTGTTTTTTGAGACAGGGTTTCTCTGTGTAGCTTTGGAGCCTTTCCTGGAACTCACTCTGTAGCCCAGGCTGGCCTCGAACTCACACAGATCCACCTGCCTCTGCCTCCCGAGTGCTGGTATTAAAGGTGTGTGCCACCACCGCCCAGCTCTGGTGTGTTATTTTTATTTTTGCCCCCAATACACTGAAACCCCCCAAATTGTTACAACCTAGGTTCTATTTTCCCCTAGAGGGAGAAATAGGTGCTCCCTGATGCATGCACTAAGAGCATGGCATTTTTCTCCTGATCATAGGTGCTCCCCTCCCTCACCTGCCTTAAGTGGGAGAAGTGGCTGGCTGATAGCTTCCAGCTGTTAGGGAGATGGCAGGTGAACATTTCCAATTGGGAAGTGTCATGCGTTGCCCGGTCAGGGGAAGAAAATTATTGGCTGGAGCAGCAGAGCCTGGGCAGTGGTGCGAGGTAG